GGGGGGGGGGGGGGGGGGGGGGGGGGGGGGGGGGGGGGGGGAGGGGCCTGTTCTGATGACGCCTGCTTCCAGGGTAAAGTCGCATCTGTGTCCTTTCCTAAGGTCAGCTCTTTTTCACTGTGTGTGTGAGTGCTGTAGAAACATGAAAACACTCGGCTCTGAAGAGAGCATTACAGAGAGAGACGAGGGAGGTTGATGGCAGAGACTGAGGAGGTTTTGGGGTAGAACTGAGGTCATAGTATAGAATTGTAGATTATAGGTGCAAGTAAATCATATTCTAATATGCCTATTTCACAACACACCTTTTGTGACATAGCACGAAAACCACAGGTGTATTAATGATATAAATAAGGGCTGCACTCATGGTTTTGGGTCCATGTTTTAATGGGTTTGAGTTTGTTTGCTGTTGGGTCATGTTCATGGACCTATAGCTTAAATTACGGAGTCGCTATTCAGATTGATATTTTTTTCTTTTTATGTAAATACTGAACTCCGTACTGCCGTCAGAAAATGTCACTTTGTTATCAATTGCAATTGAACTCTGTAGTGCTCTCTAGTGCTCAGATATCAATACTACACATACACAATGCTGCAATATTTATTGGTGCTTTCTACCTTTATTTATCAATTTTAAAGAAAGACAAACTCAAAAAAGCAAAGACTTCAATAAGAGACCCATTAGAAGATAAAACTGACAAATCAAAATAAAATGTACAGTTAACCAACCTCAGATGAGGGCAGATCATTTTCTTTGTACTGACCGTAAAACACACAAAACAAACTGCATTAGCTGATCTGAGAACTGGCGTGTTTTAGGTTGTTTTGTGCATTTCTACACAGCAGAGAAGCTACAGTAGATTCCCCAGTGATCACTAGTGAAGCGTCCACAGTCCAGCTTCTCCAGCCCCACCAGGGCCATGTGGTCAGGGGCCAGGCGTGGGACGCCGTCCTTGGCAGCAGGGCGGAAGTAGACCCGGTCGAAGCGGCAGCGACAGACGTAAGGAACAGTCTTGTTGTTGTTGGCTTTGGTGTCCCATGTGTAGCGGCAGTGCTCCTGCTTTCCCAGTCGTTCCCACACATCGCAGACACTGGAGGGCAGACCCACCTTGGCAACCTGAGATGGAGCCCGGGGGAATCATTTTAAAGAGGTACATTGTGTGATAACATGTAGAGGGGGAAAAAAAAAATGCAAGCATAAACACCATTGTTGCGATGCCAAGACAAACGGCTGACCTCAGTGTCCCTCAGGTTTGTGTCCCCTCCAAACAGGACGGTGACATCCTCGGGTGCCTCTCTCATCCTCTGAAGCACCACACGCAGCTGTTTCATCCGTTCCTCTGCTTGGCCTTTACAGCTCTCGAGGTGGGACGTCAACAGACACAGCTTCTGGCCTTTGAATGTCACCTGATTTCAAAGAGAAAAAGACAACTTTGTATCAATTAAGGTGAGCTGAACATGGCTCGAGTATTTGGACTGAACTATCCTTGCCCGAACCTGAGCTACAAGCAGATTCCTCATCATTTGAGTTGTAGGGTAAGATACTATCTCGCTCTCCAAAAATTTGACCCGTGTCTTCTTCAGCATCATCCCGGTGAAGTAATTATCCTCGCCACCTGGTCAGCAAAAGTTCAGAGGATAGTTTAAACTTCTGGTCTCAGTCTCAGTTTATTTATTTTGGTATTTAGTTCAACTGGTACGACCAGACAGCCATCGTGTAATAAAAATAGTAGAGTTCACTGCAACAGGAGCGTAGACAAATCTCCAGGGAAAATACCTACATCATAGGTCTTTTACACAGCAGACATTTTGACTTGTCATGTGAGGAAAAGCACAGGCTCTGTTCTCAAGTGTCCCAGTAAGCCAAAGCAGTGTGACAGTGAGCCAGCATGCACAATACAAGGACCCTAACACTGAAGTAGCTAAATGGAATTCAGATATTATTCATTTTATTTTATTTTATTATTTGCAGCTGTGTTTTTCCTCCTTTGACATGTCAAAAAGTATTTGGCAAAAAAAGGCCTGTTGAGCATAACGTACCTTCAATGATTAGGTAGCTGACGGCCCGTTTCTTCAAGTACTGGACGTAAGGTGGAATAAGCTCCTGTAGGAACACCACGTCAGGAGTGTATCTACATGAAGACAAGATTCACCTTTTAAATGCTATCTGCCATCTTTTATTTCTTCAGGTGCAGCTGACCTCTGATATAAACAGTTTAAATACAGTTTTATATCAAGTGACGCCAACAACGAATAACAGTGTAGATAAACGAGCTTACAAGACTAAGAAGGAGCACAGGCCTCTGGCGCGCTCTCCAAGGTTGTCTGTATCGAGTCCATCCACGTTCCAGGAGATCAGTGACAGCTTATTGTCGTCGTCTTCTTCTGAGGATTTGCGTGCGGATGCCGGACTGTCTTCAGTCAAATCTATACTGGAAATTGTTCACAGACTGTTGATTCATTTGGAGTTACTGAACACATTAAGTAACTTGGAGAGTGTCAAAGGAGGGAAGACTGTAGACTTACCAGTCTGCTGGAGGTTTTTCCTCAACTTTCTGCCTCTTTGCTTTGGGGCTGGTCTCACCGTCTGGAAAATCTTCTTCAAATACTTTCTCCAAATCAGCCTCAAAGAATGAGTTCAAAGCTCTCTGATAGAAAGGTAATGGGAAAAGTCCATCAGGGTCAACTGCTTTTAGATTTTCATGACATCCATAACAGATTTGGAAACATTTTTAGCACTTTTTTTTTTAAGCCTTAGAGGCTGACCTAATCAGTGAAATAAACTGCAGCAGTGCTGAATTGCAAAAACTTGCCACATCATCATGGCATTCTGTATTTAGCTGCAACAGTGGCCTACAGTTAAAGTCACAACTGAGAGGCCTCAGTTGTCTACTGTACCTCCATCTCCCACTCGTTTTCAGCCAAGTAGCACTGAGCCACAGCGCTGTCGGTTCCTGTTATTGCAGCAAACTCATCGCAGAGGCCACTTCTGCTTTGTTCCACATTAGAAACCGATGGTTTGTCCGAGTCTGATACATTAGAAGCCATGTTTTCCAGCCACTCGTTTTGCTTACGGAATTACACAGGAGAAGTAGAGTAATGCAAACATTAGTCCATGTTTTTTTCTGCAAGTTATCGCAGGTGCACCAGTGAAAGGCGTCCGGGTAAATTTTCTAACTGACGTTCCAACAAATCACAGCGAAGCACAATAGAAACGTTACTTTGTATGCCTAAACGTGAACAACTATAGATTACATGTGCAGTTACCAATTAATATCACCACATATTGCTATTAATGGGGACCTGTTTGCATTGTTAACCAAAATTACATCGAAATGCGATTTAGCTAAATTAGCAGATTAGCTGTAAACTTCGCCCGGACGATTTATTCAACGCAACAGTTTCCGGTTTGAGGTAAACAGAAGTTTGTCCACAGACGGTTAAGGTTTGACATTGACCGCCTCTATTTAGCTAGCGTTAAATATGGTTTCACTGTCTTTAAACTCGTTAAAACAAATAATGAGGGCGATGGTAGATCATTCCGGCTTCGACAAGGTCCTGAGCAAGGTAAACATACGCATTCTGAAACATTTGACGATTTTAATATGTATTTCTGTGACTGAGTAACGTTACATGTTGTAATTCACTTTTTAAACGCAACGGGTTACGTAGCCGGATATCATCCGCATTGTTGCACTGTAACAGGTAGCCATGCGTGTGTCCTTCAGGTGGACGTCTTGTCTGCCAGTCCAGGTAAGGTGGTGTGTGAGATGCGGGTGGACGAGGAGCACACAAACCGCGGAGGGACGCTCCACGGCGGGTTGACAGCCACCCTGGTCGATGTCATATCCACCATGGCGATCATGTACACTGAGAGGGGAGCACCGGGAGTCAGTGTGGATATGAACATAACGTGAGTCCATGAACAATGTCAAAGCTCAGGTGTTTTCCCCACTGATCCCCATAAACCTTGAACAAAACAAAACCATAAACATTACCTGTGAAATATAAATGGACGTTTAAAAACGCATACATCTAGTATTAAGGTTTAACCATATTTTACAGATTTATAATACATTTAGGTATGGCTGACTTTTGAGTGACGGATTACCAATAAGAAAATCTAAAATGTTTCAGATTTTTTGATTTGAATATTTCAATCAGCTTCCATATTTGCTCAACCTACTTGCATCAGAACATATAGATTTTTGTAACATTTTGTTTCCTAAAAAGCCCCAAATTCCCCAGATAAAATACAGAGGGCATGATCTCCATGTCTTCAGTGGTGTCTACAGCCCTGTTTTCAGGCCTTTGTGTGTTAAACAGGTTGAAGATCCAACTCCATAAAGTGCAAATGTCAATGTCTTACAGATACATGAATGCTGCGAAGATAGGAGAGGACGTACTCATCACTGCTCAGGTTCTGAAGCATGGACGGACACTGGCGTTTGCCACTGTAGACCTCACCAACAAGGCCACAGGGAAGCTCATAGCACAAGGGAGACACACAAAACACCTCGGCAGCAGCTAGACTGTCCCCCCTCTGTGCCTGTCAGTAAATTACATATCATGTGAACTGTCAAAACAAGGGACTAAGGGAAATAGTTCTTAAAACCACTAACTCTGTACCAAGGAGATGACAGCAGTGGTGAGTGCAACAAATCCATGTTGGCTGGTTACTAAATGAAGGTTGCTGCCTCTGTTGCAGAGGTAATACATACTAATGCTGTATGGTCAGAGTCAATTCTGACCTAACTACTGTATCAATGTTACCATTTCATGCACATGCAATAAAACAAATAGACAAGAGTTATGCTTTCAGAATTTGCATTGTATTGGGATATGCTCAGCAGTATTGACTTGAGAATCAACAAAAGAAAAAAAACAGAAGTTACACGCCTAATACCCTTTTAACTGAACACACTGAATCAACAAGGAGCAAAATTATATGAACTATGTACTTAATATTCTTTGACAAGCAAGCCCAATTTTAATTTGATGAGCATGGCAGCAAATTATTTTCATTTTAGTAGGTCAAATTAAACAAATCAGTTAGCTTCAGCAACTTTGTTAGGCAAGTTAAACATTAAGTATGTCACCATTTCAGTTTTTCACCACCCCACATCCCAAATAAAAAAGATCTCAGTAGCTTAAATGAATGGTGCTTAAATGGTGACAATGACCTCCAACATCTAACCAACACGTCTTAACTTTGTGTACAATGCCTTTCAAGCCACTCAAGATGTTAGCAAAGGCCTGCCTAGCATGTCTTAGAGGAAAGCAAATGACACCAAAACATTTTTTTTAAAGTCCAGCAAAAAAATAAACTAAGGCGGTTTTTAAGAAGCAATACCTACACCATATGATTTGACAAATATTGTTCATCTTGTTTTCTTTGCTTACACAGGTGTTTAAACACCTATTCACACCTGTCCTTGGTCAAAAGATTGTGTAAAGTTGTTCTAGAAACCCCATTGACATTACAAACAAGCTTTAACAAACCTCTTATGACAACAAGGATATTAAACACGTCCGTCTGAGAACCACCGTGAAGACCTGTATTGTTTATTCCTGTTTTGATGCAACATAAAGAGTTCCTTCAATGACCGGTGCTGTTGATAGTGCGGCTCCAAGAGAACAACCAACCACTCAAAATCAATGTTCGTGCAGGTTCAAATGAACAAAAATGCATGAGTGAGTAAAGGGGGGAATGAAGAGGGAGTAAAAGGGAAAAAAATGGGGGAACCAATCCAAAAATGGCAAAGAGAAGAGGAGGAACATTGGGAGCATGAGGGAAAAAAAAAAGACAAGGATGGGAACTGAATCAGCTTCAGGTCAGGGAGGGGAGAACGAGTAGGTAACAAAAACAGGAGAGATCCAAGCACAAGTTCAAATCTTTTAAAAGGAAATGAATGGAGATGAGTACATCAATTTGCTTCTGAAGGCTTAGGCTGGAGGGAGGGGAAGGGCTTTTTCCTGTGTGGCTGGGTGATGCAGGAAGCCTCAATCAGGCATGTATGGGCGGAGGTGATCCTCTATGTCTCCCACACCCCAGCAGGTCAGCTGGTCCTGAGGCAAGTATAGGCAGAGGCTGCACAACTTGAACACTGTGGCCTTGGTTTTAGGAGTCTGCAAGAGAGGTGGACAGAGAACATTTGCGGTCAAGTGCGTTAGGATGCTGTCAGGGGTTACGGTTCCAGTCAAATCAGTAACATAATTTCAGTGGACTGACTCACCTGTAAGTGCTGTCTATCCATGAAGAGAAATACAGACTGAGTTGGGTTGTTCATGACCATTCCAGCCTTGTCTTTACGACCCAAAGCATGCAAGCACTGCTTCTCGTAGTCTCCATGATGAAATTCGAACTTGGCCTGTAAAACAGAGGAGGGTCTTGTGAGCCAAAAAGTACATTTTGTTTCATATAGACTAAAGCAGGGTGATTCACAAATTAATATGTCTTTGGTAGTGTACGATTTAACACATCTAAATGTGAAAATCTGGTTATTATAACATGCACAAGGTTATTCTTCATTTAAAAACGGTTTTCAATCGACTAATCTAGAAAGTGATCGGCATATTAATTGATAATAAATAATTCAGTTGCAGCTCTCCAGTAATCTGCCGAGGTGCCAAGTTCTGACCTGAACAGGCCTAAAGGGTTCATCATCAGCCCCCTTCCACCTGGAGAACAGTAGACAGACGATCTTCTCAATATCGTTGCGTGGCCAAAGGATGAAGTCCATCTCCTGTGTGCAGCCTATCACATCCTGAGCGGAGAGAAAACAATGTAAAACACAACTGGACTTTTGTCTTCTTCAAGCAATCCCCTCCTGAGACGACGCACCGGCTTACCCTTCGCATTGACTGGTATCGGGGGGCGTGCAGTTGCACAACATCTTTTTGCAGGAGTTCTATTGAACTCTCGAGAGAGTAGCTGGAATCTCGCACACCTCGTAGGATGTTTTCTTCATAGTTGTTGGTCATCACTGGCACCACTTCAGCTACCTCAAAAAGTGCAGACTTCTTCTTCTGTAATGAAAACAAACACAGGAACAAACATATTTAAAGTCATAATTTTGCTATGGGCATATAAAAAGGAACCGGTCTGAATGAGACACTTAATCGTGTAATGAGCAAAGAGATGGAGAAAATGATGTCAAATTATGAGAGACGAGTACGATTTCAGATTGTGTCAATAATTACTGTATTCGTCCATTTTACTGACGAACCTTTTCTTTGAAAACGAAGGCTATATAGATCTTGAAGTCAAACTGATCAGCCAAAGATTCCCTTTTCTTCCGAAGTTGAGCTCGTAGTCGATTTCTTGTGTGATTTCTTCGTGAAGTTGGGTCCCCCATGGTTAGATTTCGATGGTAGTGTCTTCTTCTCTTGTGCAGAATATTTTGGCAAAACTCTGTACTTTTGTATTTATACGTTGGATAAAGGATGGAGGTAGCTACCCTTTGCAGAGACAACGCATCGAACAACTCTAGGCTAGATCTCTAAAATACCCACTACCAACTGAGAAGTTCAACAAATCAGAAACAATACTAAGTCATTTTTTTATTTTTTTTGTAAAAGGGCAGTGTTTAGGAGGGGATTGGTCAACAAGCTATGACTACATCTCCTTATTACTTGTTCAGAAATCCATGTTTTAAGACATGATTGTTAAGTCAAATGAGTGTTTTTCAACCTGCCATCGACACGAACAGAGTTTTAAAGAAAAGAGCAACTCAAATTTTTTTTACTGAGAATTGTACTGAAATCAACAAAAATGGCTGCTACTGTAAAAACCCATACCGACAATATACTTTTTTTGCTCGTGAAATTGAGGACTACAGAGACTAGCAAGCGGACAAATATTCTATTACGTGGGTCATTTCAAAGTCCCTCATCCATGGCTATCAACGTGTTTGTTTCTCTGTAGGTATACAGTTATGTGCGTGTTAAAGACGGGTTGGGGATACAGACGAACATGGCAGGTAAATATAGATGCCAGGAGATATTGGCACCGGGTAACATCGAAGACTACTGCGAAAGTACCTTGACATTTCCTTGACTTTTACTGCCACTCACTTGGCCCACGGCCTGCGCTGCTGCCACTGCTGATAGTCATGATGTGGGCGTATTTTTAGCGCACTAGCTAAGGTGAGCTAGCAAGCTAATCTAGGCATTCACTTCCAACACTAACTAGTAGTGAACCGACGAGATAGCTACATCTTATCTTCTGACTGATTGGCTTAATTGAGGCCCAAGTGTGGTTGGCTAGCTAGCGTACAGTCATCTTTCTACGCGTTTACATTTTCTCGCCAGGTTCAACGCGACTGCCAGTGTTGTGAGAGTCAAGAGACCTGCAGGGGTGACTGACTAACTGGTGTTGCTCGTGCTCAGCATGTTAGCTTTAGGTATAGTTAGCTTCAGTCGCGTCTTGTTAACTTAATCGACAAAAAAACAGGAAGGGAATCAATAGCCAACAAACGACAAAACGCTGAGTGGCGCAATAAACGTTAGCTAAACAAAATCTCCCCTTTCCACGTCTGAAGTTTCGAGGTGTTTGCTGCGCTTGTTTTTCTTTCTCTTCTTTTCTTCAGTCGTCACAACCTCCGACTCGCCCTGCCGCATGCCATGTCAAGATAAATCGACAATCCAGCTGGAATCCTCCGTTCTTTCAGTCGACGTGTGGCGTGTTCTGTCTCCCGGCGGGCCCATCTTTAACGGCGTGTGTCGTCCAACGTTTGTCCGTTTGGTTTCTTTGTGTGATTTTAGGCAGCTGGTAACGGCACAGACAAGCTCGACGACAGCCTCCCCAAAATGGCTGCACAGTCAACTACAAAGATGTGACGTGTTTTGACATGTGACCGCACGAGGGGAAAAAAAACAACTGCTCGGAAAGCTTGCGCGTGATTGGCCTCTTTATCACGTGACTGATTAGACGTATTTAAGCCACTGGCGCGCGATCTTTGGAGGAGACTCAACAACGTCGTGTTTTTACTCACCAACGGTAAGACTGTTTAACACCATTAATATTGACTTAATGTATCGTCTTCACATGTGCTGCTTCCTTAATTACTACTAACACCAACTGCCGCTGTGCTAGCCTTAGCCGTCGTCTCTTAAATGTTTGTAGACTTAACGTTAGGTGAGTCAGTTGACCCTTTCTTACAGCGGTGACGACACATGTAACGATACTCTTGTGAGTAGCTTTAGACTCTATAGTCTTTTTGTTAAAGGCTAATGTGGTAGCATTACAATTAACGCATAAGCTAATGCCATAAAGTTACCATCTAATTTGGAAACCAAAGCTATCTTATTTTGGCACTTTTTCCCCTTCAACGTAACACACGTTGAACTTCCTGTACGCTTTAATGCGAAGTGACGTTGTATTTCTCCACCAGGTCTATTGAAGGAAAATGAGTTTCAGTGGAAAGCTAAAACACGGCCAGCAGAGGTCTCATGTGAATCCAAAGGTGAGTAACTAGTTTAGTATCTGTTTAAGACGTCTGTTAAATGACTGGGCAGGAATTGTCTCTTATTAATGGGTGTCGGTCCAGACATTCTCTCCCTCACAGCTTTTTCGGCGCAGCAGGGTTGTGAAGCTGTGGCCAAACATTAACAGATGGAGCATGTTTGCGCCTCTGTAATGAGCCTCGAGGAGTAACTTTCCCACGGCTGTTAAATGTTGCACCCTGCCCCTGTTCTGACACCCGTGGGCCCTGTTGCACATGGCAGCAGCGTTGTTAGTGTTGAAAGCCACTTCACTCGTGCCCTCTTTCCCATGGTGACTGTGTAACTAAAGTAAAGCATGTAAAGTGACGCTAAGTCCTCGTGAATAGAGACTTTGAAAATGAGAACACTGCTCATGTTACGTTCCCGTGTGACTCGGTGAGTTTCTCAAAATGCAACTGGTAAGTGTTCAGGATTTTTCCCTTTAACTATTCTCATATCTGTGAATTGTGATCTACTCTGTAAGTTAACACTGGGCTTTTGTCTTCCACTCCCAGAGCCTTTTCACACCATCTCAAAAGGCAATGGGATGTCCCAGGCAAACCCTGCAGGTCCTCCAGCCCTCAGCTGGCAACAAAGACTTGGGAAGGTCGGCTCAGGTATGTAGTGACTTGTTGCAAGAGGTCATTTGATTTGGGGTTTATTTTGTCCATGTTTGCATTAGATCAATTTGTATAGAATTGTTCCACTAAAAGAACAATTGATCTGTTGTCGCCTTTAGTGGGTTTCAGCATTAAAATGGTTCTAGCTTGTATTTTTCTGTTTAGGTGGGAAAGGTGATCCCCAAAAGGAAACAGTGGAGCGCAGAACCAACTAGAGGTCCAAAGAGGGTGAAGGTAGAAGTCAAGTCTACACAAACAGAAGAAGCTCAGTGTTTGACAAATGGCATAACCAATGATGCATATGAACTTATGGTTGTAGGTAAGAATCCATTATCAATGCGTTGCATATTATATGGAATCAACCCCAAAATGATTTTCTCTACCTTGAGCTAAATTTCTGTCACTGTCGTAGAAACTCCCCCTCCCACCTACTGGAAAGCGATGGCAGAGGAGCGTCGGAAGGCCTTGTACAATGTTTTACAGGAGAACGAGAAGGTGAGTTAATCTCTACGAGCGATGGCTAATGTTTAGCTATCGCTTGAATTGCTCCCGCTGTCTCGACCTTAGCTGGCTTCAGTTCAGCTGGCACTGAGTGTTAAAGTAACGTTGCACTTAAATGCACTCATTGAAATCCGTTTATCTTTGAGTGTACAGGTTCATCACAGGATTGGTGCCTCAGTGGAATTGCTTTCAATTTGAGATTATTTGGAAATCTGGAGTTTATGCCTGCTCCAAACTGTCTTGTGTTTTCTTTTTGATTAGCCTGTGATTAGTGTTGCTGTGTGATTACAGTGCTATATTGTCTGTAAAATGCATTCTGAAACCTCTTGTATATTGTAGCTCTGTTCAGTTTGCCCATTGTGCCATGGTTCTGCTTTGTTTGTCTTTTCAAGCATAATGTGTTTCTAATTTTATTTTTAAAATTTAAACCAGTTACACAAAGACATTGAAGCCAAAGATGACCAGATAACACAGCTAACTTCTGAAAATGCAGAGCTACAGGAGCTGGCACAACACGTCCAGTACATGGCTGATATGATTGAGGTAGGCACAATATTGTCTAATATCCTGATGTCTGTTGTCAAGCTTGACCTATACTGGTAAATGACCTCGTTCAAATTCAAGCCTCTATGAATGCTTGAAGTTCCTTAAGTCTTTACTGCTTAATTTGTCATCGCATGTATGTACTGCCATGTATTTACATTTTATGTATTTTTAAAGAGGCTGACTGGGGAGAGCCCAGACAATCTGGCGGAACTGAGGGAGATTGCTCTTGATGTGGAAGACGATGAGGAGGATGAGCGTGACGACAGTTTGTGTGACTCGGAGGAAGAAGAGACATCAGACCACGAACAAGCTGGACCCTCAGGAGAGCAGGATTAACTGACAACTCTTGTATGTCATGGGACTTTGACCTTTTTATACAGGTCGGCAGCATTTGTGCTTTGGCAACAGGTGGCCATCTATTTGACTGAATTGGCGTTTCAAAATAATTCATGTACTTCAAGCCGCAATAGTTTTGAAACGTCGGTCATTTTATGTTTTTAAGCCTTTAACAGATTGGGGCTGGTTTTATTCTTTTTAATTTATGTTCAGTTCAACTAAAGTGTTCAAAACTAAGCCATAGAGGCCTTTCACACAGGAGACATTTTAACAAGTCTCAGTAGAAAAAGCACAGGCATAGTAAGTCATATAAATGATGGCTCAATTATTTTCAGTTGCTTCTGTTTATTATGGCCATGTTTTTTTTGACCAGGCTCATTGTCCTGGCTTATTGGGACACTTGCATAGCCCAGAGCCATTAATGATGCCAATCTGAAGGTACTGAGGGAATGTTTTTGTGTCTACAGAATAACAGCAAGCCTTGCAGCTCTACTAGCTGTTTGCTAATAGTTTGTGGGGCTAATGTCGACAGGCTGCATGTCCTACCCAAACCGGTTGGGACCCCTAAGCCCCCTCCATCCCTTTTTCTTGGTGGTTGGAAACTACAGGAAAACAGCCATGTGACTAACGGCTGCGATTTTCCTACTATGAGTCTGGGGGTGGAAGGCTACATACACTTCCAGATGCGGTCAAGCTTGTGTCCCTGTTTACACTGTAAAATTGTGCAATGTCAGTTTTGTACATTTTGTAAAATAAACACTTTTTTTTTTTAAAGAAAAAAAAACATGTTATGGGTCTTCAACTATGAAATATTGACTGCCTGTGCACAGGAAAAGTAGTTTAAAATAAGACTTTTACTTTTTGACACGCTATACTATGACTTTTTCATGAAATTTTCAACATGCAATACTGACTTTTTAAATCTCACTATATGACTTTTTACAACCGTAATGTAACTTACAATGTTGTGAAATGTGTGCCAGTCTAAAGTTCTGCTGAGACTTTCAGGTTTCTGGGATCCACTTGCTCCTGGACCTAAAGAGGGCCTCAAACACCTAACTCATGATGCAGAGGAAGCGCTTCTTTCCCCAGCCCAGGAAGCTCAACCTGCCTCAGGAGCTGCTGATCCATTTCTATACTGCAACAATCCAGCATGTTCTATACACATCGATGTCTGGTTTGGATCATTATTTAGCTGTACCAAGTTTGCATTCCATCTGTCCAATACAGCTGATTCATAAATATTGACAGTTTTTCATCAAATAGTCATACTATACTGACTTTTTTTCAACATGCTACACCATGACTTTATTTTTTGACATACTATACTATCTTTTGAAATAGATTTTGCAACATGCCATTTAATAACTCTTCCCCAAGCTATACTATGACTTTTTTCAACATACTATATTTTTATGAATATTTTCATAAAGGCTAAATAAACACTTGTCTTTGGATATCTGCAAAATCCAAACTGGAATTTACTGTACATGTATTCCACTTATGACAATACTACGAACATTTAAATGTAAAACAAATTCAAAGCTAACAATGTCATTTAACACTTATTTTAAAAATCCACAATTTTGCAGTTTTAATTATGCAAAAATAAACTTTATTGCATCTTTTGATGAGCAGAGGAAATACTTCCAAACAATGAAGTGTAGTATGCAACTAAATGGATCAGTACAGAAGCTATTGACCACAAAGATGATCAATTTCAACAAAGTGTACCAAGTTATTCTTAAAACTACTCTCTGCATAAGAGATGAGATGTGCACATTTTGACAACTTGTACTTTGTGATTAGGAATCGAACAGCCAATAAATGAACTTGACTTAACACTGGTAAACTGCAAGTTTCTAAAACAAAAGCTCACTCAAAAGAAAAAAATTCAAACACTAAATGAGTGGATGAATTAGATACTTTACCAAAATACTGTAATGCTATTCACATCATGAATAAAAGTAACCGTTACTTAAAATGGATCATGTTTTGAAAAAAGGTTTAGAAAAAAAACTGAACCATCTTCAGCTTTTAGTAAGAACTTCACACATTTACAGATGTTACAAAAGAAAATATGAATTTCATAAAAATATTACCACTTGCTTTTAATCAATATGGCTTTTGGACTGTGCAGTTAGAACCAAATAACAAGATTCATATATTATGGGTTTGTCCTATTGTGTGCGCTGAAATATAATTCTCATTATTCTGGCCAAAATGCAAATGGTGTTTTGAAAATACATTCTCCATTATGAATTATTAGCTCTTAGTAAAATTGAAAAATGAATTCGGCCTTTGGTTGCAGTAAATCTTTTAAGTAATAAAGTAACATTTCTGATATATAATGTCCCATTGTGTTCAATACCGTATAGGAAAAAGAAATAAGATTTCTAACAGTATAATGATATTGTAATCTTCCCCAAAATAATCTAATATAATTCCTTCAAAAATAAACTCCAATTAAAATTAAGCATGAGATCATTCGCATTATAATATAATGGACGTCTTTTTAAACGATAAACAATATTTCAAAGAGTAGAGACCTGATCCAAAATAGAACATAAATATACATTTCATTTACATAACGTAAACTATTACAGTATAACTCCAAATAATATTAGAATTACAAGGAAATAATAAATAAGATCTATGAACAAATGTGAGTTTTGTCGTTGTGCACTGGCACAAGACTCAGTAGTAGTTACAGTGAGAAACGTTGGAATAGTCGAGTCAGTTTTCCCACATTACAGTTAGGATGGAGGGAAATAAAAACTGACCCAAAAAAGAAAAACCTCATTCCGCAGCTTCTCATAAGAATTAGCTCACATACTGTATTAATTTGCAGTTAGCCAAAATGAGGCTTTTACTCAGCCTTAAGTATTCTCCATTCTGTAAAGTTAATGGAGCACAATCCTAAACCAAATCTATTGCCCTGGACTTGCTCTGTACCTGTTAGAAAAAAATATATCAACAAGAGAACAAGAGTGTATTGGTGGAAACCTGCCTTCTTTGACCATAGAGGCTCAAATGACCAAAGCTGACTTTACCAATCGTCCTCTAATGTCATCTAGGTGCAAAAGGGTCACGTATATACAGAAAAATTGCACTTGTTCAACTGCAAGTATGAGAAAACTCTGATATAAACTGCTGAGCGAGTCAAACGTGGGCACTGTGCTGACCTGTTTCAGATCTACTCTTCAGGTTTTCCTTTTCCTCCAAATGATCGATAGCTGAGGTCAAAATCTGCTCCCGACTGTAAAACTGCTGTTAAAGTAGCTTTTAAACCACAACATCACATCCTCTCAGAAAGACATTCTCAAATTGTTATTGGTCCTCCCTGCAACACATCGCGCATCTTTCAACTGTACAAGAATCCCTGAAACTCAAAATGGAACATACTAGAAAACAACTTAAAAATATATTCTGAAAACAAGCGCATACATTACACACCGGCTGTGTAAAATATGCCACATTTATGCCTTACAACAGTGCAAATCTTTCAAAAGCGCCAGAAAACATTTCTAATGATAGACAGTGATTATACAAAGATCATAGTTGGTATATTGTGTGACACAACTGACTCCGTAACAATCAAGATGATGATTAATCAATGAGTAAATGATGTAAGTGTTTGGTGCGGTGGCTTCTTGAATGAGGTTACGTGAAAGGCGAAGACGCATTGCTCAAATTCTAGTTGCCACAGTCTTTGGAGCAGCTTTTTGTCCAGACAAAAGTGCTCTCCAGTTAAACTCAATGTTTCCGGTCTGCCTGGCTCAGAAAGCAGGGAAAGGAAGGGGTGAAGCGTAGGGGTGTCTGAAAGTGAGGGTGATGGAGAATCGAGGCGTGTAAATGCGTGCGTACAGGAGGGGTATAGGTTGTGTGTCTTCTGTGGTTGATACAGTTTGTTTGGTGTTAGTTCCTATGAGGAGGCAGTGTTGGTAAGAACAGTGATCTAATGTGGCGACGTAGAGATCCATAAGTCTGTGCAGAAAAGCAGATCAATAAAGTGATCCGTCATTAACAGCCTTGTGAGGTGTAGCTGAGGGAGGAGCAGTGCTGTCCTCGGGCGTGGGGTTGAGATGTCATTTGTGATGCTTTTTGGTGGCGATGGCTCAAAAGGCAGTGGTGACGGCGTTCCCCCGCCGTGTGCCCATGCGGATGATTTCTCCAGGCACCGTGTCCAGCTGCTCGTACGCCAGTCGCCCCTCCTCACCTGCCACAAACAAAAGGGATCATCTATAAGCACTGTATCCCCCCAAGCAGTTTTAAATGATGGCAAATGTTACTTCTGTTTGCAATAGTATCCCTGCAGTCAAAATAGTTCGGCTTCAGGTCAAAATATAGGCGAGGTATGTAAATCACTGAAAAAATTAACAGCATCCGCTGTCCAGATTTGCCTGAGGACGACTCGGTAGGCCTTTTTTAGGTCAAGCTAAGTTTTAAAGAGGTTTAATCCAACAGAACTATGACGAAAATAAACTTGTTTTGGTATAATACTGTAAAGAACACATTTATATACATCATATTAGTATTTTTATACTTTATGGGGTGTTTTTTTTATGACTTAGGAGTGTCACAATATACTGGTATTGACGACAATCATAATATTTCGAAAATGAAATATTGGTATCTTGTTAATAATACACAAAAGATAATATTGGGTAAAAATCCAGCACCTCTTAAATGGTTACAGACTCTAAATCTTCCTACACTCGACAAAACACACAATGAACAAAGTTATAGATGAATATGATATGTTTTTCAAATTTTCTATAGATAATAGTTATTGTGAATTATTTTGGCCAAAAAAAAAATAGTGTAGTTAAAATCTGACATTGTGGCATCCCTAGGTGTAAAATACACTTCAGAGATAATAGAGTGATTTGTAAAAGTGTAGCAAAGACCAAGCTGAGCAACATTTGATTTTCCATGAATGTATTACTTACCAAATGTGAGCAGGGTTTCTATGGCAACATGGCGAAGCTCTTCATCAGCTGAATCACACAGCGCTACCACCGCCTTGATGCTCTCTACTGCCTACAGACGGACAGAAGAGCTCTGTGAAGAGGGCACTTCTCAAAGTACACAGAAACCAATGGGCTGATTTGGAATGATTTCCTCTTTCTAATCAGCCATCATAGTACACCACTAATATAACATAGAAACAGATTCAATCCGTACCATGCCGTGAACACTATCTGAATAGAATACCTATATGCCAAATGTAACGTACATTGATAGAACAATGTTGTTGCTGTGAACATACTGTCCTTTTGAGCAAAAATGCATTTCAAAGTTCAGCTGTTGCTGATGTTAGACAGTCTCATCGGCCAAATCAAGTGGTTATCTTTGTCCTGGCAATTGGGTGTAGATTTTGTTGCTGGTGTTGCGTCCCAGCAACAAACCTACATGCAACTACCAGGAAGTATCCCTCCACTGAGGCTCAGCATGCAAACACACCGCAAACAACACCTTCCAAAAGAAGACCGTACTTTAGGAAGACACCACTCAACTCAGACAGTTGAAGCTTCATATCAGCTCTTAGAAAGAAAGTTAGCCTCGATTGACACAAACGGAGACCTAAACTAGCTCCCAATCTTCACATTATCACAGTTGTAGATGATGTAATAGGCCACTGACCTGCAGACAGCTGAGAGCTGAACAGGCCGCCCTCTGGCTCTGAACTCCAGCCTCTGACAGTGCCTGGGTGTAGCACTCCACTGCCTGTAGAAACCCACATGAACATTCAAACATGGCTTGTGGCATCTGTCAACACTATTTGAAATGCCGTTTGCCTCCAAACACTCGCATCTCTCAAACACAGTCTCTTTACCACTACTCACTCTGATCCTGAAGTAGCTGTGTGACGCAGAAGAGAGGTAGTTGGCTGCTGCCTTGTTGACCTGAGGGTCCTCTGCAGTGAGCAGGGAGGCCAGGGCCCTCAGGGTGCCGTTTCTAGGCCACAAGGATGACATAGGCACCTCCTCCAGCTCTGCTAGACACCGAGAATAATCCTGACTGCACAGAGCCTCTGCAAACATCTCTAAGGATGACACAGACACATGTCAGAGGTTTAAACATTATATATCGTGTAGAGTGTAAATATAATAGGGGGCTTTTCTGTACACCAGACATGACCTTTTCTTCTGATTGATATCTTTGCAGTTTCTCTTTTGTTTTGAATGACCAATGAATGATTATAGTGGAGGAATTTGCATGACTCAATGGCAGAAAGGTTTTGATCAGTGTTGTGAATGTCACCCCTTTTCCTCACCTTCTCTGGCCAGATACAGGAGGTGCGTCTCCATGTCCAGCACTTCATGCTGTAAGATGTAGCTGTGGAACTGAAACACTGTCAGGACGTCCTGGGAGAGCTCAGCGGCAGTAGGACTCAGTGCCGCCACCAGATAGCTCCTGTCCACCATCTCGCTCACTACGACACCAATCACTGGAGAGAAGAGGAAGGAATCTGAAGTCAGAGAACATTGTTTTGAGTCAACTGGAATGACATTTGCATTGTATGGATCTATTAAATACTAACTCTTACCAGCTACTATGATCAAATTTTCCCTTTTTTAAAACCAAAATAGTGACTCAGGTGAAACCTAACAGTAATTAAAAACACAGGAACAAGACCGTGTTGCAAACAAACAAAACATTTAATTTGAAGTGCAACCTTTGGTCTGTTTGCAGAAAGATAATAGGGATGATCCAACCTGTGTCAGCGCTGTGTGGGTGTCTCTCCTGCAGCACTGCGGTGTAGCGCTGGTTCATGTGTTTGAACACTCTGTCCAGTGTGGTGTGGAAAAGTCCTGCCGACCCGCTGCACTCGGACCACAGAGTCATCAGCTGTGGGCGATCTGCGAGGCCCGGGAGAACTGAGAAAGAAAAGGACAAAACAGACGGTCAAACGCTGCAACCCTCAAACTCAAACCTTTCTGTTGCACGGTAATAATCTTTCATAGAAGACTTAAATTATAAAACATAAATTGCTGCAAGATGACTACTCTTGAGATACAATGTTAAAACACATACAACACAATTCAAGCTAACTGGTTTTCACTTTTCAGTACCTACCGTCTGCAGAAGATGTAATTGCTTCCAGTTTGTCAACACTGAGCTCTGCTAGTTCTTCTAACAGCTGAGTCTGTCCTGACAGTTTGAGGAGAAGACTGCGACGCTGCCACACACCTACCCCACTGGTCAACAACTGTCATTACAGGAAGAAGCAAAAGGCATGTTGCAGTAAACTGTTAATGTCAACTATGACTATCCATTTATCCTTCATACTCCCAAAAATGATCTCAGGTGTCATTGAGAGCCCTACCTGTATGAGGTGATTACAGTACTGCAGGTGGATGACGATAGCAACGTCCAGGTTCTCGTTTCCAGTGGTGAGCGGCAGGGGGCTTCCTGCCACGCTGTTGCCCACCCCGGTGTCCTCTGTCAGGGCTTCACTCAGGTGTCCTCTGGCTTCTGGGTGCTGGCTACTGAGAGGCGCATACCCAGAGTCACCAACAGTGATCTACTGTACTTATATTAAATGGTTTTCAATCAGGTGATGCTTTGACGCAAGACAATTCTGATTTTCTGTCCTTACATGAATGAATAGTTGAGCATGAACGGACTTAAAACCAAGCACCAGGAACTTGTATCCTACTTCATCTCGAATTGTGGTTTTTGGTATGCGATACTTTAACAACAGCCTTTTATTTTAACTTTTAGTGCAGATGATTCTACACAGCAGTTAAACGCCATGAAACAATACCAACATTGACCTAGCGTCAATGTCAGAGTGCCTCCGTAGGTACGGCTCCCACTTACCCGATCCTTTCTCCGTCTGTATCGAAAAGCGGAGATCTCTGTGGGGGGGTACTGAGAACGGCATTATCGTCTCCGGTATCCTCGTCATCAAAGTCAGAGGTGTTGAGGAAGTCAAAACTCTCCAGGGCACTCTCTACTGTCAGACTGAGGCTGGATGATCGGCTCCTGTGACCCGGGAGACGGCACTGTGAAGAAGAAGGGAGGAGATAGTGGGTCAATAAATCATGTTACAGTCCATTCTAGTTACTCAAGTACTCAAATTACTTTTTACAAGTAATAAGTCACTAAACTTGTTACTTTCAATTTAAGTAGTCATCAATCTTTTTTTCTTCTTCTTCCTAACAAACTTTCTGATTTATTTGTATTGTCATTAGAGAGTAGATGTTTTCTAAATATACTGTGGGTCAGAAGCACTATGGAGGACTTCAAAATAAGTCTTCAAAATAAAAGTCCCAAGTACAGTGGAAGGTCTGTTGTTGTCTGTTACAAGACGACACATTAAGTTTTCCAAATATTACCCAAACCAATTTTACACTTTTATATGTTCTGATATTTAGTCCTCTTTCTTTTTGCATGCCTTTTTTTTCTTGTTTGATTGATGAGGATGTTTACGATTTAAGGATTGTGTAATGTAATTATAGTTACTATTGTGGACCAAATATAAAAACATTTGCTTGGAAGGAACATTCCCTGAAAGTACTATATTTTTCTTTCCCATATTAGATATTGTGCAAATATAAATTAGAAGGGGAGACAGAGAAGGGTTCAGTCACCTTGAGTAAGTCCTCCAGACGCATCACTTCCTGCTCCAGGTCCTGCAGCTCTCGGCAGCGGTGATTCAGAGACTCCAGCCTCATCAGCAGGCTTTGGATGGCCTCCTCCAGGCTGCTCTCCAGGAAAGCCCTGCTCCCCTCTCCTGCCCAGCTCAGACTTCCCCCTCCATCTGCAGAGCTTTCACCTGGCGGCACAATGTCCGAAGACGTCAGCCTCTTCACAAGCTGCCTGGTCAGGCTGCCCGCTTCCTCTGTGTCCAGCTCCACAGGCTTCATTTCGTCAGTGTGGTCTAAGAAAACATCCTCTGGAGCCACTGTAGACAGGTGGACGTCAGAGCAGAGGGACGCGGCAGCCGAACCACAGTTGGAGCTAGAATTTCGCTGGGACTCCGTGCGCTCCCACTCAGAGTCATCTGCCACCTCGGCTTCGTCACTGGCGAGGCTGGCACTAGTGCCCCTACTTCCTCTACTACCCGTCTCCCCATCTTCTTCGTACTCCTCTTCCTCTTCTTCCACTAAATGCTCCTCAGCGATGGAGTCCTCCCTTGTTGGGAGGATTTGTGTAGGTGACGGGTCCATTTCTGGAGGGGTGACTGTGATCTCAGGGTTGGACTGGCTTGTGGAGTGGGAGCTCGGTGCGGGGCTGGGCATGGAACCAGAGGTGTCCGAAAAGGTGAAGGAGAGACGCTTACACTCGGCCACACCGCAGCCCCCGTTCTCAAAGACATCATCTGGTAAAGTGGACTGAAAGAAGAGACAGAGCAGTAAATATGTGGAACAGAAACGATGGAAGATCAAAGCTACAGTTGGTAAGTTTAATAATGCTCCAGCCGATGGCCGGTGCTTCGTTTTGGCTCAACTGCTTTCAACATGGTGGCTGGGTCACCAGCTTTCTTATCCAACAGCTGAACAGTACACTCAAATATTTTTCTAAATACATTTGAGGCGAGAAATAGGCAATGCATTAACAGAATCTTGATTCATATTTAATCAACGCTGCCTGGTTTGACAGCTGTTTCAGAGACACCGTGGAATCTTGTAAATCCCATCAGGAGCACTAAAAGGAGGCAGAGGAACCCAATTGTTTCACATAACATCTATCTCGTGTTCTACTGTCAGGATACAGTGAAAATTTGAGCAAATATGATAAAAAATATTTGTAATTAAAGATACCAACTGTAGCTTTAAGAGTGAGATAAAGCTTGAAATCAGTGCATGTAAGATGAAAAAGTACAAGAGAAAGCCCTCATGTGGAAAAAGAGATGGCAGACATACTGTACTTAAAACATTCACTTTAACTCTCTTCTTTCTAAATTCTTATGAGAGAATCTGTTCAACCAAGACAGAATCAAAGTAAGCTAAATATGAATAGAAAAACAACACAAGAGCACGTGCAAATAAACATGCAAAAAGCCACACATTGCATTCTGCAGCTCACAGAAAAGGACTGGACAAGCCCAAGTGTGTGTCCACACCAGCAGAGGAACACAGTGCATCCCCATCATGTCATTGAGGTAGGGGGCACGCAACACACTCACATAGACCTCCAGACTGGATTTGGGCCTTGGCCGGAGTGAGGCCAGGTCACCAAACGAGCGACTGAGCCTTAACTTCTCTAGCAGGGTGTCTCGGAGCATGTGCAGGAAGGAGAGGCGCTGGCGCTCCACGGGATATGGCCGCCACTTCTTCACACAATGCACGCAGGCAAGTAGGACAAGGTGTTGGGTATTTGCGTGAGGGCAGGGGAGTGAGATGCAAGAGGGATGGATAAACGTGTAGTGGGACAGAGTGTGGGTAAGGGGTTTTGATGTGGAAATGCAAAGGAGAGGAGGGTAGCAGGGAAATGGGTGAGGGTTAGTTTAGGGGTAGCACTGGCGTTGCTCACATTAGCATGATGCATCAACAGAAAAAAATGTTTGCAATATCATGGGGCCATGATAAGATATGCACAGGGTGTAGACAGGTTAGTGTGCTGGCACTATGGAGGTGTAAAAGACAAAAGGCATCTCTTTCACCACAACTGAGCCCGCTATAAGCCTAAAACACACAACGTTCAGAGGTTTTTCTAGTCTGTTCTCAGCTCTACAAACACTACTGTCTCCCACCACACTAATGAAGCTGAAGGAGGTTTGTGTGTTGGACTCACAAAGAAGGAGGCGTCCTGGAAAGTGGGGGTCTCCGGCGTGCCCTGGCTGTAGACCGACACTCGTCTCTGGAGTGCTGTGGCTTTGCTCAAGTTACCAGACGACAAAGACAGGTCCTCGACATCGAAGGGGCTTAAGGGGGGGGGGGGGGGGAATCAAAACACGACTCTTATTATGATTTCTCTATGCCTACCTACATGTACTTCTGTATACATGATCTCATCCACTTAGTTTTATCACAGAGGAGGTTTATTTTGTTTAGTTAACTTCCGTAATGACTATGTTTCTCCACCAGATGGCAGAAAACCACAACTAATGTAGATTGAATTTAAAGCAACAGCACTAATAACAGTTACTGTAGGTGTTTACTGTGGTAACTCAACACAAGCCAGTGATTAACATACTGATGGTACCACACTGATGAGTTGCACGCTTGTGAGATAACTTCATAGTGTTGAGATGCTCTGTAGAAATACACGGCTGAAACGCTGCAACCTCAACATTTATCCCCGTCATAAACTGAAAACAAAGTATGCTCACCCCAATGAAATTTCATTCAAACTTTAGTGTACCGAGCATGCAATTTAATTAAATGAATCTCATGAAATAATAACAAAATCATCAGGTAATCTTAGATTGTATCTATCTCAATATCTATTATGTAGTCTCTCATTATGCACTGCACTTTTATACACACGATATCTAACCTTGAACACTTTTGTTGGCTCAAGTGAAACTATCCTGCTGAAGTTTCCCCTTAAGGAATATAAAGTAACAAACTTATTGAACAAAAAAACAACTACATAACACACTGATATAGCAAACCATGACGAATAACAAAAAAGTATACGAGTCAACTTACTACCACGTGACCTCCAGGTTGAGTTTGATGGTCCCCAGGTCGTTAACATCCACAGCCACCACCTGAGGCATGGCAGTAAACAGCTCCTTGGTCTCACAGATCACGCTGCCCACCAGCATGTGAGAGGCCAGGCCCTTCAGCTCCGTCACCTGATTGAGACCAAAGACAACATTTATTTACAACTCAGGTCAAGAAAATGATAATGCCGGTTCTTCTGATTGTTGAATAGTTTTCGTACACCCGCTGTTATTTATTATGTCAGAATAATCACCAATCTGTCCTGGATATTATTATTGAAAACTCACATGAGCTGAACGCCTGATTTCTACATCGTTCTTTTCTTTACCCTGCACTGTGTTGATTGACTGAAGTACAAAGCTAGTTTATCCAGATTTCTTCAGTACCTTGATGTTGATGAGGTCAGTGATGAGAGGCATGAAGACCATCTCGTCTCCATCCCAACTCTGTCTGGAGTTCACTTCAATTCTTCCCTTCAACTTCCAGCGCTGGCGACCGTACCGCATATAGATCTGAAGGAAGGAAAGGATGGGAAGGCAGTGGAAAGAAAGAAAGAAGTAAGCCTGAAGCCTTTTGATATTCCATCACTTCATTCTGCTGGAAAATGCCAAACTTAGTTCTTCACTTGAACTTAAAGTAATAATTGTCCTGTCCCAACTCTTAACCAACATCCCCGTGTTACATTAAAAATAGAAGATCTTGCCTCATACTGGTCTCCAGGACAGAGCCTCGCAAAGCCTGCCAAACCTGTCAGAGGGAGGATATTGATTTAAAAACAGGATATAGGGGGAAAAAAGCCAAGCCAAGTAACCCGTTTGTTTTAAGGTGACTTTAGTATTTAGCAGGTTACAATGTCAGTGTCTTCATTACAGTATACCAAGGCCTTAATGGACATCATTATCAAAAAGCTGTGGCCGTTTCTGTTACAGCATAAGAACTTTTCCTACATGCTCAATACAGTATGTAGGTGGTGTAGTGAATATAGCACAATTACTTGTCAGTTCATCGTGAAAAACATTCTTGTAAACATCAGTGGATTAATGCCTCTCATTTCAGAAATCAACATCGGTATGCGAGTGGGTTTACTTGTCATTTTTCTCACCTTTCATTTTGATATGAAACTCCCCGAGCAGGTTCTCCAGTTCGCTCTCAAACGTGCTCATGTTCTGGGGATGAGATAGATGACACTAATCACATAAACAGCCCTTTGTTACACAAGACAAGAACAACAATAGTAATCAAGTTATCTCGACAGACTTTGACAAAGACAGTCAAAACTAAACTGCAGAGGAGTCAGGACGGCTGGTGTAAGCCCTCTGGACAGGTGTGTGTAGGTGTGTGTGTGTGTGTTATTAGGGTTTAAAGGTTGTTTTGTAAGTAGGCAACAATACATGTCAGTGTAAGCAGTAACCTGTAATAGATATTAAAGTATATTGTGGGTGTTGTCAGCCATGAGCAAATGTTTAATGTATATCGTTATATTTTTGTACATGCATTTCAGATTAATCATATTTGTTGAAAATCTCTTTACATCCTGAAGGCAATCAATAATTCAAATTGTCTGACAAAAAAGGAAAAAAAAAAAAATCCAGCATGTGTGGATGTCGCTCTAATGAGCTCGTCCAATCATTTTTATTCAGAATGTAATGATTCGACGGGCTATCTGCCTGCCTGCACGTATTCTGCTCGTGCATTCGTTGATCGTCACCGGAGTCTTACTATCGCTGTGAGAAGTACCAATAACCATGTTCGTTCTTTACGTTCATAATGATCATTGTGAGGGAGTGGGTTTGGAGGGAGGCTTGAAAGGACAGGCTGTGTCAGCGTTGCCAACTTGAATAAGGGACATAAGTAGCTAGTGTTTCTAGCTACTTTCATCGGAAAAGAGTTGGCAATACCGGGCTGATTTTTCCTAGCTTCAAGAAGCGTGTTCGTGCAAAACTCCTCAGAAGAATTTGCTGCTTCTTGCTTCCTCAAACACTGAAGAACATGATCTATGCCAGTACCTCAGAGTACTCCTTATAGCGGCGGTTGACCTCTGCGATGCTCTCCTTGGTGCCTTTAGTGGAGGGCGAGGAGGAGAAGGCCTGCTTCATCCGGCTGGCACCGTCCCTCAGACGGCTCTGGATGCAGAAGGCCTCATACAGCTCGTCCACCTGAAAGCACACGGAGTCCCTCCATCTTTAATAAATGTTCCACGGGGACAAGCATGCATTCGTATACATGCAAACTTTCACGTTCATTAGTTTGCACACGCACACACACACACACACACACGAAAGAGAAACTTCAGCACTAATGAAAGGACATGAGTCTTTGAACTTTGAAACCCTTCAATACGTTATACATCAAAACATCCTTGGGCAGGAGGCAAACTCCCCAAAAAACTTCCAACTACCATCTAAATTATTCTGGATGTGTTCACATCTCACTGGGATTCATTCAAGGATGCCCAACACAGCTTTAGGCTTGAGCAGTAGCCAGTAACATTTGTCAACGGGTCTTCAACAACAGCAAAAAAATAGGCATTATTGAGAATGAAAATAAGGTCTAAATAACAGGATAAAATGTGACTAAGAAGATTATTTTCCAATGTTCATATTCTGGAACAAAGTAAGAGACTGCAAATGTAGAATCAATGAAAGGCTTGATAGGAAAATAAATTGACAGATTTAGACAGGACAGTTATCAAGTGAGACAAGACAGGGACAGGCAGATAAACAGAGTAGAAGAGAGTCCTCAACTGAGCAGATACAGCTGGTATGCATCAGTGTAACTGTATTGTGCGACCCCAGTGGGACACTCCCAATGCGGGGGAACAACAGACGGCGTTTAGAGCTCATTTGGAGACGTCTGTCTGACTTCAGTTTGCAGCACCAGCCTGTTCAAACCCACACCCACAGGGAGAAGGAACGACTCCGTCAACATCCTGCTGCCTTACTGAGGGCTGAAATTTTGGAGTTTTAACTGGAATTAAATCATCAAAATAAGATGATGTAACCACAGCAGTAATGGTTGTATTGAGCCCAATGGTGAAACAGAGGTGATGAAGCTTGTTTGGTCTGAACTCTGTAGGCCACATTCCTCATTTTAACAAGGTACTTTTATAATTATTAAAAAGTACATTAAGTATTTATTTATTTAGATTTTCAATTTTGTCTTCTCTTTATTTTAGCATATTTCCAGATTTCCCCCCAAAAAGTTGCATCAAGGTGGAAAGCCAGATATGTAATTTAGAACCAGATGTCAACCTCATGGTTGTGCGAGTGGAAAAGTCAGGGATCACCAAAATCGGCAGGATTCATCCTCAGGGTATCATGACATCAATCTTATGGTAATTCATGTTTTTATTTGCTGAGTCACTCAAAGTTATTTCTCCCTGAAACCACAACTCAGTCCAGATTGTCAGCATCCTGTCTGTCTGATTTCCTGCCTTCCTGAAGTCACATATGATCGGAGTGGCAGCCGGGCAAAACAAAACACCTCTGGTGAGCCTCATCAAAGGGAAATATTTCAGCCTGCCTGACTAGAGTGCTAAAATATTGATGCCTCACGCTCTTTATGGCACTCATTAGGGAGAAGCGGTAGAAAATGGGCCATTCTGGCTCCTGCCATCCTAACAGCTTCTCCGAGTGTTTGTCTGTGTATCTTTTAAAATGCACTGCCAGCATGTTTGTGTGAGCAGACCCTGTGACTGTATGTGGACATGTTTACATGTGTACAAACAGCATGTTGCTCTTGTGTGATAGTTTATGTTTGATGGTAGGATGTGAAAGTGGGATGTTTGTCCGGGCACAAATACAGACGGCACCCCAATCCCACCATCTCCGCCTCAAACCAACCAGCCCCCCTCAGCACCCCCACCCACGACTGGGACCCAGCCCCGTCTGTCTGTCTGTCTGTCTGTGGTATGTGGTGTATGCGGCAGGGCTGCAGCAGCTGAGCTGAGCCAGCTATAAAATAACCTCCAACCACGACTGTTATTCTCAGCTCTCAAGTCAGAGCCATCAATCGACAGCTTTAAAACGTGTTAGTTTACAACAAAACAAGGAAAAACATGAGACGCAAACTCTATTTTTAGTTTAGCTGAGCTAAAAAAAAAAAAAGAAAAAACACGATTCATACGTCCAGAACTTTTGCACTGATTAAGTCAATAAATACTACATTATTGTACTCACACATATGAGTAGACATCTATGAAGAGGTTATTCATTTGGGTAAAATGATGTGTCACAATTATGGGCCTTCACAAACTGGGGCTGATGAATAGCCTTCATTGTTCTCTGGCAATCAGTAATCATATCATTATAAGCTAATTAAGCTCCTTTCTGTCCCTTGCTGCCTTCAAGGAAATGTCCTTGTGAAGGTCAGCCAAGCTGCACTCCAGAGGACGGCAGTCAGCAGATTGCTACACCTTGGCACATTTCACCCCAGAACAAAAAGAAACATAAAAGGCAAAACACAAACAAAGACAAGACAGAAACCTCAACACAGGCAGATGAATAAAACATCTTATACAACATAGAATACATGTCTAGTACAGGTATGCCATGTCTAGCAGACACTTCTTTTCAAGCTGTTATCTTTTTGTTTTAGTGAAGAAATTGTTCAGATGGATCTAAAAAGACACGCAGTAACATCATCAAACAAACAAAAAAATATTAGAAAATGAATTAGGAACAATTTAAATAATCAGTTAATGGTTTCAGTCACATTATCGGTAAAACAACAAAAACACAATGTTTTTTAGCTTTTAAAAAAATGTATATTTTCTATCAAATATTTAATATTTTGGGACTCTTATTTGGACAAACCAGCAGTATAAACACGTCACCTTGCCCTCCTTGGACTTGTGATGATATATATATATTAAAAAATGGATTTTTTTTTGGGGTCAAATTCATTGTGAAGCAATAGAAATCATTTTACAAACAAGAATTAAAATTCATCCCATAAAAAGATCATCAGAACCTTCTTAATTAACTCTTACCAGATGTGAACGGATATTAAATGTAAATGTATTCTACATCGAGTCCTCTATTGGACAGAGTCCCTGTATTAATTACAGCCATGACAAAACCTGAACGGCTCAGAGACCCGGTGAAGGATTACGAGAAAATCTTTATTGGGGAATCAATTATGCCCAGGGTGAGGATAATATTGTGTTCACATTTATGAAGGGTGAAGTATCCATTTTGACTTCTTATTTTAGGTCCCTCCCGAGCTAATCCTTGTAAAATCGCTATATAATAACACTTGTTTGGTGGAGTTCAATTTGGTGGGATTTTATGAACATCATTTGGAGTTATAAGGGATTGTCTCTGTATTGACTGTATATCTGACTTTAAACTGTGGGATTTTAAATATGAGCAGTGAATCTTTAGGATATAGCAGGAATCCTCTTAAGATATGGCCATTATCCTGGATTGTGGGATTTGAGGTACGCACACATATATATACGCACACACATATATACGCACACACACTTTCTGCCAGAGGGCGAGTGATTATAAGCAGATTAAAAACAGGCGGGCCACATCAAACAGCATCAAACACACAAGCCCGTCTCTGGAGAACTGTGTGTGTGCGCGTGTGTGTTGGTGGCTAGATTAGCATTCAAGGGAAGAAGAGAAAGCAAAAAGGCCTAACATTAAAAATAATCACATGCAAAGTATTTATACTCATTCTGGATTGAATTTGGCACGATTAACACACAAACACTTTCTCTCTTGCTCCTGGGGAAAGAGGAGGTGCCTGGCAGCTGCTCTTCTCACCTTCAATCTCTGTCACTCATCTCCTTAATGATGCCCTGCTGAAACTAGTAACCAACACACACGCACACACACAATAGACCCTATCCCATGCAGGACATCATAGGGGTTGGATTGGGCCACCTGCTTCTTCCATGTGTGCCAATTACTGCTCGGACATCTGCAGGCAGCCAGCAGCACGAGCAGGAACAAAAGACCGGGCTGATGTGAGTCACACACACACACACACACACACACACACACACACATACACACATAACTTGCTGATGGATGATTGCTGTCCTGCACAAAGAGGGACATCTGAGCACAAACACTGACAAACACGTACACACTTACTGTCGCTCAAAGCTGCTGAATATATAACTTTAAAGACATTTTTCATGTCCTGTTCTCAGATCAGGTAAAGTACACAAGCTGCATTTTTCTGGCTCCAGTTTTAAATCATACTCCATCTACCTGCCGATGTTTTGTTTAATGATGTTTATGTTTAAGACACTAAAATATACTCCTATTAATGACTAAATACTAACAGACTGGTTATCTAACGTTCACCTACACACTCATTTCCATATTAGCATATTGCTCTACTGAGGGAGCAATTTCTATCTCTGAGGTACTCATCACTCTGACAGTACAAGTATAAGAAAATATAAAGTTGATGGTAGTTCCTTCTTTTCTTTACAGGCCAATCAGCACCCTCGCTCTCCAACAAAATATGTACTTTATGTTTACATCTTGTAGGCATGGCTGGGCCAATTAGTGAGCTAAAAGGTTCATAATGCTTGACATGATGTTTTTGTGGTAGGTTGGTTCTCTTAGCTGGACATTCAGCAAATGATCTCACTCAATAGCATTCTGCTGAAACGACTTTAAAGTCGCATCTTTTTTCTTCTGTTAGAAAAGTAAAAGAACATCTGCTACACTGAACAGCTTCTTACAGTCAAGTAACAGTGAATCATAGTGTGTTGTACAGTAACGCCAGGGGAGAAACTAGAAGCGACAATGACAAAGAATTTGCGAAAATGTGTTACATGTACACCATTTCATTTCCAGTCAATAACCTGCAGAAAGTCAGAGAGTCGATGAAAAGACAAGGGTTTGGCAAAGGAGCGCTGCTACATATTTAGACTGAGCGAGCACAAGGCTGTGCTAGATTTAACTTGCTTTTTAGTTACACTTTGGCTTTTGAGGCTTTTTATTTGCCTGACAAGATAAATCAGTCGCTTCAAATATTTACAAGTGCATTCAAATCTATTTTTGCACAGAGCATAAGAACAGAAGAGCTTCAGAGTAATGCTGGATGCTAAGTAGAAGGGCTTTGGGTGTGTGTTTTGTTTCAACTGCATCCTGTGACAACCTCACAAGACAGAACAAGCATTGCATCTGCTTGTGTTTTCTCTTTGTCATCAAGGCCAAAGTGGAGCATTCAGGCAGATACATTTCCTGAGTTTCTAAGACAACATCACAACATTCAAATGACTCGGACCCCTTTTTTCTATATTCCCTCTATCTCCCTCCTCTCATTCTTCTTCTTTAAAAGGACCCTGACAATCACGTCTCACTGCAGCCCACCAACTGACCTGACCCAGATTCACTGCCGTCTTCAACTCTACAAATCTGTCTCTTTGTCTTCTGTCGTATTGTTCTGGACACGTGCTTGCTTTTGGACATCTGAAGGTGAGTTTTTCCAAGTCTGTCAGGACTTATGTGAACATGAATGTTAAGGTCACCCAAGCTGGCTCCTCAGGACTACAAAGGCTTCGTTTTTCGGGTAACCATAGTTCCCTTCGGAGCTGCACTGTCGTTTGGGTGTGTGTGTATTGTGATTGCCTGCTGTCACGTCTGATTTGACGCACAGCGAGGGAGATTATTACAGGACTACAAAGCAGGGATGTGGATGTGCTGCGTAACCTTGCAGGGGATTAATGTCCCAAATAGGCAACCAGGGATGAGACTACAAAGGAAGTTTCCCTAGCCGGAGACCTCAACCATCAAAACAGCTGGAAACGTCCATAATGCATCAACACATGAACCAGAAAAGAGCAGGAGTACCACCCTAACCTGGCAGCAAAAATCCTTCCTGAAGCCAACTTGACAAAGTCAGTGAAGCGCGGAGTAAAAACTCAACACCAACCAGCAGGAAGGGAGGAAATTATGAGTTTATCAGAATGACAAATTCTTAATTTGGTTTCTTGCTGGGAGTTAGATGAGGAAGACCGACACCATATGAAGCAACAGCCCCCACCTGCTTATCTTAGCTTAGCATGACGACTGGAAACATGGGGAATGAGCTAAGCTAACCAGCTGCTGGCTGTAGCTTCATACATAACGGACAGATATGAGAGTTGTATTGATCTTCTGATCAAACAATAAAGAAAGCAAATAAACACATTTCCCAAAATGTCAAACTATTGAAGAGTATTGTGGTTTTCTGAGTGACTCTGTGTTGTTGTTATGTGGAGAGGCTTAAAGTGAAAGGAGGTATTGAGATACGAAATCTTAAACAGCACCTGATGGATGCTTTCCAAGTATACCACACAAACGCAGAAAACAAATCTGACTAAAGACTCAGAACCCGAAACAACTTGTGATGGATACATTTTAAGCATTATCTGATATCAATCCCTCACATCAGTTCTTACCTTGCTCATGTGAAACTCCAGGCGTCTCATGTACCTTTCGATGGTTTTGATTTGCTGCAGAAAGACAGACACAGCACAATCATTTACTAGTGTCCACATCTGGTTTAAAGCTGTAAACATAATGATTCATTTGTCCACACTACATGACATAATGAGAGATTTAAGATCATTAAATGTTTGTCACAGATTGGCAAAGTGTTTATCTAAATGGTTTTACCTGAAAATATCTCAGTTAATCCCTCTCAAGCGGTTTCTCCTGTCCCATCACACACTTTCTCTCTCTTTCATCATTTTTCCTGCATTATTCCTCCCTTCAGCTCCTCACTTCTCCACTCTGTCCTTTCTCCCTCATTTCTTCTGCTTTTAGCAGGGTTTTTTCCCCCCCTTCCTTCGTCTCTTTTTATGTATTTTTTTACATCAAAGATTCCCCCCAGCACACGCCAAACTCGGAGCAGTTGTTACAGCAGACCCTCCCCTCCATCAACTCACCTTGTCAAGATCGTAGAGCACTCCCTGGAGAGAAGAAACACACAGAGAGACACAAAAACACACACACACAAAATCACAGTTAGTACAGAAGGCAGAGCTGAAGCTGCTTAATAAAATGCAAAGCCGACTATAGTTGTCTCGCATCAAAAAAGATCCTGTTAAACACTCTTTCCACTGTCAGCCTTGAATCTGTATGTGTACAATATGTACGTGTGTGTGTGTCACTGTATACATTGTAGCAAATCAAAACGCGTTCACCATGTGTGAATATGTGATGTTTAAGTCGATGATTAATATTGTATTGTATTGAGATCTGAAGTGATCACAGCTGCCAAAACTTTTGTTGTTGTCTTTCTGATTTTCGTGGGATAAAAGCAACAGTAGTTATACATGATGGAAAAACTGTGATTTTGGCCTTTATAGAAATAGTTTCGACAAAGCCAGGCTTGCTGTTTCTCTGTCTTCAGTCTTTATGTTAAGCCATGCTAAGTGCCTCCTGGCTTTAACATTCACAGTACAGCCATGAGAGTCTTGTCGATGTTCTCATCGAACTCTTTACCAGAAAGTGAAGAGGCTTATCTCCTGAAACGTCCTTTAAGACGTGGGTAAGGCAGGACTACACTGCTGCTTGTGTGTAATATAATGGACGGTAGCTTCTTACCAGACGAGAGTTTCTCTTCATGTCTTTCATCAGACACATGAGTTTGTCCAGTTCTGTTTGATGAACTTCAAGATACTCACTACGGGACAATAAAGGGAAAAGGTTTAATACAAATTCAAGCAGATGGAACTTTGTCAATCTCTGCGATGTAAATCAGTGTCTGTATATAAAGACGGCAATACAAACACGTTGGTACATAAACATCTGTGCAGTTATTCAAATAAATGCGGCAGGAAAAAAACAGGCTGTAAATGTACAAATTAAAGAAAAATTATCTACCGAGACTCACAAGACGTCTCACTAACGTAAAAAGAAATGATCACTCTGGATCATTTGATTAGTTAATGTATTTAAAAAGGAAGACATTTCCATTGCTTGACTGAGTGATGTGTGTGATTACACAGTGTAAGTGTACTCACTCCAGGCCTTGTTTGAGTGCGTTGTAAACTTCCTCCAGTCTTTTGGGCTGCGGCTCCCTGGAGCTGCTGCCTCCCTTGTGCCCTGACGGGTGGGGCTTCTTTGGCTTAGACTGAGGCTTCTTCTGCACCGCCGAGTTCCCCATGAAAGAGTTACACCTACACACACACACACACACACACACACACACACACACATTAGTGAGTGCAAAAGAGGGTCCCCCTTGTGCAGGAATTTTCTTAATCTTGTGTGCAATGATGGAAAAAGAGCAGAGGTTTTGAACTACGGCATAGTAGAGTTTGGGAACAAAGACACAACATTACATCTCCTAATAAATATTCAGAGTTGGATTTCCACAGTATTTCAGATAACCAATCCTGCAGCTGCCAATAATAATGTAGTGTTAGATGAGATTTCTGTATTATTACAGCATCCATGAATTTGTCTCATGTGACTGACGGGACTCGTCAAGTCTCTTCACACCGAGATTAGACAGTCAAACAGGACCGACGCATTTAGCCTACATATATCAAAAAGATGTCAAACATCATAGCAGCATACCCTCAGAGATAAACATCTTCATCACAGGGGCGTGCTAAGTCACAAGTGTGAGCATATATCTGGGAACACATGCAAACATGTGCTTCCCACCCCCACCACACTCTCTGACCTGTGTGAGGCTGCTATTCATCTTCTGCTGGAGTGAACTTACAAACACACTGAGGCACATTCACACTCCCGGCAATCAATGACATTTAGTGCTCTTCACTGTTTTCCCCACAGACAGTGTGACCTAGTCAAGGGGGGGGGGGGGAGAGAGTCACCAAATGTGGATAGAGTAAAACAGATTTATCTTTTAAATAGTATTATATGTGTACAAAACGGCTGCAACTAGAGATGCACAAATACAGACATCGCATATTGTTCCGATACCGACTCAAATAACTGGATCTGGTATTGTGAAAATTAAGCAATCTGGTATCCGATACCATTATTTTAATAAATAACAATACATTTATATCCATGTATTCATTTTCATAATGAATGTATCTTTATCTCATTTGGACTATAAAACAGACAAGTAAAAATGCTCATCACAACTTCTTAGACCCAATGGTGACGTCATCATGTCTTTTTTTGTCTGATCAACAGCCCGATACCCAACATTTTGAATCAACTATAACAAAGACAAGAAAGGGCAGCCAAAACCCCCAAACTGTTTAATTTATTGTCATACAGAGAAAAGAAGCCGCTTCACATTTAATTAAGAAGGTAAAGGCGGCAAATGTTTGGCATTTTAATTGATATAGCACTAAAATGAATTCGATTATTGATTGAGAGCTCCATTAATGATTTCAGAACCATAGGTCGAGCTCTTACACTTAAATTTAAAAAAAGCGCAATTTTCTCCACAGTAGCCAACTCACAAGCCTCTCTCGCCTCACATCAACCCATTCTAGGTCACACTCATCTTTCCCGCTCATGCAGATCTCAGCTTTTAAAACCATTACAGATTTCGGCTGACAAATGACAATTACCCCGGACTTAATGAAACTGATGAAATTCTAGTGCTCGACATTTTGGAACGTGCCACGTCCCGCCTCGCGCAGGGGGGGGACACAGCATAAATTGAGCTAAGCTGCCACGAATGTAGGGCACGACAATGAGAGCGCTGCGTAGCCTTGGGGGTCACGCAAGCTGTACTGTAGAAGGGCCTCTTGGCAGGGACACACACAGAAACACACGCATGCATAGATGTAAACACAATTTCATACCGACTGATAATTGTGACACAAACTGCAAAGTGTGCAGTATGCATGCATGCGTAAATGCACACAGAACATGCAGATGTCTACACACATGTACAGCCCTTGCTGAAGAACAAGCAATACACTCCAGTAGCCTCAGAAGCCACATCTCTGCAGATTTCTACCTCGCTCATTATCAGAATGGTGACTTGTCAGTCGCTGTCGGTCACCCACACACCCGAGTCATTCCAACCAATTACCCCACTCCCTGTCTGAGCAGAGAGGAAAGAGGAGGAACGGCGTCTTTAAATAGGTTCTTTCAGCAGGACCAGGGGCTAATGAAGAGGACCATGCGTCGACAGCCGAAAGATTGTATTTTTTCTGGGAGTGTGAGCGGGCTTTGTCACGTGACGAGAGATGAGTCAAAGAGGAAGACACACAGATACAATTTCAAGAACTTTAGCGATCTCCAACTTCTCATAACCAGATTCTGGCTATGAATGAAACAATCGTCAGGAAACTGAGTTAGCTGTGCGGTTATGCAACAGAGTGCTGATCATCCCTTTAAAATGCAGTTCCTTTACAGGATCACAAGACTTGCTGTGGCTTGCTGAACTTAACAAAGGTCGGCACCAGATTATTGAGTTATTAAATTCCTTTTTTGTCTGCGAGTTTGAATCGAGTCTGGTTACAATGAGGGATTTCTGAAAGAAACATTTTACAAGCCAATACCAATGTGGTGAGCAAATACAGGTTTTGTAGGACTTTCTAAAAATTGTGTTGAGGCCAACATTGTCTGTTCTGCAGGGTTATGTAGGGCAGACAGTCAACGGCTACATATTTTCATTACAAAGGCAAAATATTGGGCAAAAAGAAAAGTTTCCAAGAAGTGAGTTACTGCCATTTTCTTAAAATCCTGTATCTTGGCTTCAACATCATCCTTTTTCATGTGTTGTCTTTTCCATCAACATCTCTCCAACAAAATAACTGATTTTACATTGATTTGCCAGATGTTATGTACGTAGGTTATGTAAGTGAATGAATGCAAGTGATATTACTATAGTTTACTGGGAAAAAAATCTGAAGATTTCACGTCATGCCAACTTATGTAAAAATAATGCAAGATTTACCGAAACAAAGAGGACTTTGTCTCACTGTCCTTAACCCGACACGTCGGGAACAGCTGATGCCAATTTCCATATTTAACACAATGCATACACAACAACCTGTAAAAACAAGTAATTTGTCTTCTGTGGAGTCTTATAAAGTTTGAGAAAATAACCCAAATGATTCCATCAGGGCTATCTAGATTTGGGCTTCAGAGTTCACACTTGTTGATGGAAAGCTTCAGTAAAAAGAGGGTGTGGGATTTGAAAGACGTGGGCAGAGACGGTCCGATTAAAAAGTTAGAGAATGTTGGCTTACCGAGAGCGTCGTTCCTGTAGCGTGCTAAACCCGGCGAAGGACTGACTCCGGATTATACCATTGGGCCCTCCGGGGGAGTGGGTGCCGGCCGCCATGATCTCTGGGACGCGGGACGACACTCCTGGAGAAAAGAGAGGCACAAAAATCCATTACATACAAATCCATTCACAATATTTAAACGTCGAGTGAGGGATTCAGGGACAAGAACACATCACAGGTACAACAAAAGCATGCCATGAACTCAATTCACACCCACACCTCGTCAACAGAAAGGTTATTCAGAGTGGAGGGAGCATTGTGCAATGCAGGACAAAGTAGGTGCTGTTGCTGAAGCTCGCCATGTGCGATGTGGACGAGCAGCATTCAGAGCCTGCTCCAACATGTCTCAGCTACTTGGAACCATCAGTCATGAAGTCACTTTAACTGCAAACATATGTCAACAGTTACCGTTTTCCTTCCTCGAGCGGGTGCCGCAAAGCTCAACTCTTGTCACTTCCCGTAAGTGCATTTTTTCGACCCGAAGTAAGAGGTTGACCTCTAAATGTGGCACGAGCAGAAGTCACTGAGGATCGCACCACAGATCTGCTTTAAAGGCCACTTTGCCTTCTAGAAAATCAAATGTACGTATTTCCAGGTAAAAAAAACAATCCAGACTGTCCTATGGCTGAGTTATCTAATCAGCTTCTCCTACAGTTAGAACATCTTTTATCACTGCGTCTATATTTAGCAGCAGCAGCCTGTCATATTTCATCCTTTTTTTAAAGAAGATGTGGAATGCAACATGGTTCATGTGGGCACTTGGGGAGCAAGCTGAAAATAGACAGAGAAACGTCCACGTTTAGCTGTCAGATAATGATGTAGCAGACAGGAAGTGCCCAGAGAGATGACTGAATCACAGTTTTATCTAGCATGTTGAGATTTTGTCCAGATTATGGTGCCGATGGCAGCAGGTTGGCATTTAATCTTAAAAAAGGCAGTTCAGTGAATAACTGTTTCATATCAGACAAAGCAGGGATGCAACACTCAATACGGTCAATACTGACCTTATTAAGCAGGTCAGGTATCAGCCAGACATAACCTATCAACATTAAATACAGTTTATTTATCAATGTCATTATTAAATTCAGTGTTTCCACTATCAGTTACAGTCATTGAGTCACAGCAAGCTGCCAACAGTGCCACAGCAACCTCATGTTGCCTTAAATAAAAAAGGACTTTCATAGATTTTTATGCAGTGAAGTCAAATTCAGAAGTGGAAATCCTGAATGAAGAGCAACTTTAGCTCAACTGACCAACATACTGACCTCAATGTAAATAGTGTTGTGACTGTAGCGAGTTTGTGTCTTTTCTGTTAATCAGTATCGCTACACAACTGAGCTCAAGGAAAAGTATGATGAACACACAAATGCCGGGAGGAGAGAGACAGATTTGTCAAATCAAATTAAACTCCACTGACAAGCAGAGGAATCAGCCTGTGAAGTCTCAGTGTACAGCTCTCCTGCGAGCCTGCTTCTCTTCCCCACACATACAAGATAAACCGTCCCGCAGCGTTACCAGTTTAAACAACTCGGAAAAACAGAGCGACTTCCTTTTCTGTCGGTTTGTGTGCGACTCTGTTTGTGGGGCCTTGTGTTTGTACATGCCTTGTTTTTTTTAATCCATTGACCCATCTGTCTCTTCCTCCAGAGGACAGACCATCTCTGTGTGGGGCTCATTTTGTCACACAAATGAAAGCATGTTCTCTCTCTCACACACACACACACACACTTGACGACCCGATATCCCCTCCTTTGGTCTGTGAGGCAGACAGAGCCACACAAAGACCCGGCACGAGGCCCAAGGAAAGACTAGAGCTTTGTTTTGCAGGGGGGGGGGGGGGGGGGGGGGGAAAGAAAGGAGGGGGGGTTATTGTTGG